GATCTGAACAATGTCTGGAGGCAACAGGCCCTCGGCTTCGCACGGCTGTCTGCACCGCTCGGGGACATTTCTGGCACAACAGACCGGCACTGTGTTGTGATCTGTGGTAATTCCAGCGTAGGACACTGACAGAGTTCTTTGTGGCGAGCTCTGTTTTTACGACCAGGCTCCCTGTAAGCGCCACGGAGATCCCCAGCCCACACTCCCCTCCGGGCAGGGCAGCCCTAGCTCTGTAAGTCTCCCATGTGTCCCCACATGGAAACAACCCTAGTTTTTGTTGACTAAAAAGTAATTCAAACCTGTTTAAAAGTTCTGAAAATACTCAGGTGTGTAAGAGAAGAAATGAGAAGTTCCCAGAGCCCCATCCCAACCACTCTAATTCAAGTGCTTCTCAGAGATGCTTCCTTACCCCCTCAGCAGACAGGCCCGGTGTCAAACCAGGTCAGGCCGGCCAGGCAAATGTGAGCCACTTCCCTCTACTAGGGTGAGGCTGTAGAGTGGAGGACAGGCCTTTCAGGTGCTCAGAATCTTGTATCACCTGCTCCTTGATCCCTAGAAGAGAACTGATGATAAATGCCAACAGAGTTGGTTGGTAAGGTAAATAACTAATGGGCTTGGGGCCCCAGAATTGGCTTTAGGAAGAGGCTGGTAAAAACCAAATTCCAGTCACTGTCCCAGTCACTATCCAGGCGACAACTGCTCCCCAGGTTTATAGTTTGTGACTGTGTCAAACTTTGTTTGCCTTAGAGCCTGTTCTACCAAGACTCACGGATCTAAAATAAGGAAGTCCGGGAAGGATCTTGTTTTCTAATCCTGGGTTCCCTGGTTCTGGTCCCTCCAAGTTTCTGAAGTCCCGGATTCCCGCCCGCTCCTACCAGGATCATGCTGCAGGCACAATTGTCTGTGGGCTACGCAGGTGGCAGGAAGCAGTGGGCCAGGTGGGGTCTGTGACGGACTCCAGGGTGTAGGCTCAAGATGGCACTTGTTCCCTTGTGGACTGAGAATCCAGTGTTGCAGGATCTTGGGACTTTTCTGACTCCTAATCGTTGGCAATTGATTCACACTTGAATATCAAAGAACCATGCTGGAGAAGCAGGTTGGTTACCTTGTTCGCTGGGCAGATTGTCTTATAAAGGGCTTTGCACCTGGCCTGGCTCCTCACGGAGCACTGAGCAGTGGGCACTGGCTGTAATTACCCCAAGGCCCAGTGGCCTCCAAGGAGCAGAGGCTTCTATTGCCAGGAATATGGTGCAGCCTCAAAGCTGGTAACGCCAAGTCCCTGGAGCTCACCTCCACCAGCGGAAGGAGGGCTTTTCGTTTTTAAATTTAAACTGAAGGAGAGTGGCCAGTGCCCTGGAGAAGCAGCTTTTTCTGCACTTCTCAGCCTCAGCTGTGCTGTAACAGGGGCAAACTGTCGCCGGCCTTACTTCCGCAGTTGGCAGCAAGCCTCTGCCACCGGCTGCTGGCTGCATCCTTGTGAACACCCCACCCTCCTTCCCTAGCTCCCAGGGTGATGCCAGTCTGGGAGTGGTCCTGAGGCCTATAAAGGAAGGTATTGGTTAGCAATGCCTACAGCAAATGAAAGAATTATCAGCGGTAATCAGCGGTAAAATGGGCTGCTTCTAATGTGTGCTTTGCTGAGTGGTACGAGTGTCTCAGTAGACAATGACGTTCCTATTGCCTTCTTACCTACCTCCCCAAGCTCCAGAGCAGCCCGACTCAATGATCACTGAGGAGGAGGTGCTGAGCCTGTGCAGCCTGGGAAGGGACAAGCTCAGTGAGGGAGGGAAATGTCCCTGTGAGCGGCTCTCATCCCCTGGGAAGCTTTTCAAACTCCGCCGGCCCAGCGATCCACACTCGACGTGAGGTGGTTTTGAGCCGCTGAAAGGCTTGCTGGGTAGTCAGTAATTAGAGGGAGGCCTTCACCTTCAGGCCAAAGAAGAGCCATCCTTGAACGTCAGTTGATGTCTCTCACAAATGAGGAAGGTCGTTCTCTTTTTTATTTCATTTTCACTTCCAGGCATTGAGCTAAACGAGGCTCTTCAAAGGTAAGCACATTTAGTAAAACAGGAACAAAAACCAAAGGGAAATCATTACAGGTTGTCTTACCTACCAAAGCGGGTAACAGAACCACTTCCCTGGCCTTTCACTGGCCCTGACGCTCTTCCCTCCATCTGCTCATTTCAGGCCGCTGTCCTGGGTCTGCTGCCCCCTCCACTCCGCTAGGCAGGCTTTCTCAATGCAAATCTGAGCTTTTCCCCAAGGAAATCCTCCTCCAGTGACTCCTGCTTTTTCTTTTCTTTTGTGACTCCTGTTTTTAAGACAAAGCCCCAACTCCCCAGCCAGGCACCTAGGTTGCATTAGTTACTCCTCTTCCTTGTCAGCAATGGCTGGGCATACGGTGAGATAAAAGACTTCCTCTCTCAGTCTCTTTTTCTGCTAAAAGTGGCCTGGTGACTCCACCCTGGCCAGAGGATGTGAGCCAAAGTGCTGTGTGGAGCTTTCCTGAATTGCCCCCAAAGAGAGGGGGACAGGAGTTTCTCTTCTGGTTGGAATGAGAATGGAATAGCTGGGGCTCCAGCTGTCATCTGGGTCCGTATGCTGACCTTGGAAATGGAAAGCACACCCGGTAGAACTACATGCAGGGGCCAGGCCCGCCTCAGCTGGTCTACCTCCAACTCTCTGAATAAGGGAGAGAGAGAAAAGTTCTTGTTGAAGCCCCTACTATTTTGAGAACTGTTGTGGTAACAGCCTATTCCAAACTCATGTCCTCCCCATTACTGCCGTGCGCCTCAGAGGGTTCAAAGGGAAGCCTGCCTCTGATTCGCATCTCGGTGAACTCCTCTCCATGTCAGAGCACTTCCCCTGGAGAGCCCTGAAGACTGATCCCCAACAAGGCCACAGGAAGTGGCTTCTTGGTAGGGACACCATTTTTTATGTCACATTTCTGGCCCCTGGTAGAGAACCTGCTGCTGTCTATAAACACCAAAACTATTTTTGTTTTCCTGAAAGAAGTAGAGAGTATCTAAAATAAGTAAAGATCTAATGAGCCAATCTAGGCCAAGTCTGTGGCTATCTTCCAAGAAAGTGCTAAGAAGTCCTCTCTCTCCAGAGCTCAGTGTTTATAGACATTTTCCTGGGAAGATGGTCTAGTGATGCTGTCCTTTTCAAATGAGAACTGTAATCCCACAAGAGGTAATATCACTGCATTGGAGAAACTTGTTAAAAAAAATCACTTTGTAAATCTTAAAAATTGCCCAGCCAGTATGGCTCAGTGGTTGAACATTGACCTAAGAACCAAGTGGTCAAGGTTCAATTCCCCATCAGGGCATATGCCCGGGTTGCAGACTCAATCTGCAGTAGGGGGCATGCAGAAGGCAGCCGATCAATGAGTCTCTCTCATCACTGATGTTTCTATCTCTCCCCCTCTGAAATCAATAAAAATATATTTTAAAAAATTACTTCCTTGCTTTACACACACACATTTAATATGAACATCTTTTAGAAAGTAGTAACAACCTGCTCAACTTTTCCTGTCCTGGAAAGTAAATGATTACATCATCTATAATAAAAGTGTAATATGCAAATTAGATCAAACAGCCGAACGACCTAAGCTGGGGCTACGAGGGCCAGGGCAAGCTGCCAACACTGCCAAAGCCGAGCCCTTTGCATGAATTTCGTCCATCAGTCTCTAGTTTAAATATACTCGTGAACATTTTCCCTACCTGTTACAGTTCTCTGTTAATCCAAAAGCAGGATTAAACTGAGAGGACTATTCTAGTAATATTTATAAACAGAAGATGCTATGCTTAGAGCTGGAGCCTTCTTTAATCATTTTAAGTATGAGTCTGGCTCCAGAAGTGGACATATGCTAAGAACTGGCTGGCATTGGCCCCTGTTGGAGGCTCTGACCCTAGTTTCCAGCTGAGTGGTTATAGTTCTATGTTCTCTTAGCAATGTTCAGTCCAGTGCCAGGTCAATACCGATGAACTTCTTTCATCTTATTTAAAAACAGATATATAATATGCATTTAATTTCATTCAATAAATCAATTCCATTTAACTTATCACCTCTTAGAAAACTTAGGAGAAAACTAACGTTAAGACATGAAAAATTATACTGAAGATGTGTGGACACTGAGAGTAATGTGTGCACATATGGCAGGTAGGACCTATAATTTAAATGTTTCACAAGAAGAAAATCCAAATTACTATCATTTATTACTGTATCTATGCTTTCCTAGTATGGTTGTAATGTCTGAAGTAGCCACAAAGTGCCACCTTCTGGTTAAAAACTGTGCAACACCAACACCTCCTTTATTTCTCTTTAAATGCATTTCATGTTGGACATATAAAGCAACAGCAGCAGTTACAAACTGTTGTCCGAGTAATTTTGAGATCTCAAAATAAGGATCCGTGTATAGGCTGAATAAAAAGATATTCAATTACTAGTGCACACGTGTAACTTTATCACGCATCTTTAGCTGGGTTTTTGTGTAAACCTTAATAGAGATGTGACTCACAGAGACCAAAAGTAAAATATTTTTTCCTTTCACCGTTTAGTGAGTTGGTCTGCTTTCACGCAAATGATTTACAAACTATGAGAAATGCTGCATGTGAGAACTAGGCATAAAATGTTTCATTTTTCACAGAGGAGCAGCAGGGGGACAGGGACAAAAGTAGACACCTTGTCGCCACCTTTCCCAAAGATGCACACCCCAAGAATGGCAGTGGAAACCTGGCAGCAAGCCCTCTTACAATTCTTTTTGGTTGTTTTAAAATACAAGCACTTTCTGACATTTCCCTCCCCAATCCATGAACCCACCCTGATTTGGCAGGATACAATCTCAGAACCTCTTGCTTAGTTTTCCCCTTAGAATTATTTACAGGATGCCTACAGATATGATAAAAACTAGTATGAAATTAATGACAGTTTGCGTTTCCAGATTCGTTTCCGTGGTTAAATAAGCACACCGAGCCAACTCCAAAGATGGTTCAAAGTTAAGGTGACTCAGAGGCATTGGCATCTGTCACCGCAGAAACAGGCTTCTGGCTGGCTAGGGTGGACTCGCTGACTCTGTCCTCAACAGCGATGGGGGCCTTGGACGTCGGGAGCGTCCCATCCAGAGGGAGCGCTGAGGCAGCATCTGCTCTTGCAGTGGTCATGACGGGGTCAGAGGGTGGGCTGCTGGTGGGTGGGAGGGAGGACAGCAGCCCCACTGAGCCTGCTGCCGAAGAGACCTCTGGAGCCAAAGGGAATGACGGAAGGAACTCAGATGGCAAGGGGAGAGCTGCAATGCCAGGTAAGTTTTGGGAAGACAAGGAAGGAAGAGGTGGCAAACCTAGGACAAAAACAGCACAGATCAGACATCCTCCCAGCACTAAAAGAGCAGCAGTCATAGTCACATAAGTGTTTTTATTTGCATTTCATTAAGGAAACTGAAGAGAGGAGAGACAACACAAATCACAACCTCTGCTTATCCTCAGCTGGAGACAGGACAGAGTTAAATACAGGGTGGGGCAAAGTAGGTTTGCATTTGTTCGTATGGAAAATAATACAATAATTAATTAGTAATAATACAAAATAAACTGTGTTTCACATACTCATAGCTGAAAGCCTCCTTTCCCCACCCTGTGTTCACACTAAGTGTCCACACTAAGATCAGCTGGCGGGGGGGAAAGGCCCCTGCTGCTAGGCTCCTCTAAGCCTAGGCTCCCTGTCCAGTGGTTCTCCCAGGGGGACGGACTGCAGCCCCTCCACAGGCGCTGCAGCCACACTGAGTGTCGGGCAGAGAATCCCGTTCACCCAGGAAAGCTGCAAGCTGACGGAGAGCTGCCCTGGACAGACAACAGGAAGAGGGGACACAGAAGCAGCCTCTGGGAAGACTGTGGAAGGAGGGGCTTGTCACGAAGCCCCTGCATTAGCTTCATCCTAAATACCTACTCCCTGCTCAAGCGCCAAGACTGATAACTGTTTATACTTAGTGGGTTTATTGTGTTGATGTAAAAATGCACAACAGCCCTGACCAGTTCTTCTCAGTGGTTAGAGCGTCAGCTTTTGGAACGAAGGGTCAAGGGTTCGATTCCCGGTCAAGGGCACATACCTTGGTTGTAGGTTCACTTCTTACCCCCAGTGGGGGCATGTGTGGGAGGCAAACAGTCGATGTGCCTCTCTCACATGGATGTTTCTCTCCCCCCCCTCCCCTTCCCCTTCCTCCCTTCTTTGACTCGCTCTGAAAATTAATGGGGGGGGAAAAAGAGCCCTAGCTGGTTTGGCTCGATGGATAGAGTGTCAGCCTGCAGACTGAAAAGTCCCAGGTTTGATTCTGATCAAGGGCACATGTCTGGGTTGTGGGCTCCATCCACAGTAGCGGGTATGCAGGAGGCAGCCAATCAATGATTCTCTCTCATCATTGATGTTTCTCTCTCTTTCTCCCTCTCTGAAATCAATAAAAAAAATATATACCGAAGGACTTATATGCATGCATATAAGCATAACCAATGGACGCAAAACTCTGGAGAGGGAGGGCATGTATGGGAGTGTGTGTGTGTGTGTGGGGGGGGGGGGAATTGGTAAGATATGTATACATATAATACCTTAAAAAAATGAAAGAAAAAAATGTATGTAAAAAAAAATATCCTTCAGTAAGGATTAAAAATAATAAGGAATCAATAATAATAAAGGAAAAGAGTATTACTTCTTTAAGAAACAGTGAAAAGGCAGGTTGCACAACAGGTTCAGGGCTGGTTAAACCCTCAATGTCAATTTGGGGAAAGGGCAGAGGGAAAAGCCAAGAATATAGGGCAGAGAAGAAAAGACTGAGAGCGTAAGACAACAGCATCAGAGGTTACAGGAATAAAGTCAGCCCTGCCATGTGGCCCGCTCCAAGCCAAAGGGAACCTGGGTAACCATTAACCGGAAGAGCAGACTGGGGGACATATTCTCTGCTGCTTCATTTTCATCAGTGCATAGGAAGAGTATGAACACTGAATATCTGATAACTTACCCATTTGCAGCTAAAATCTCTCAGTTTTTATTATAAAGACATTTATTAATAATGGAGACTACTAAATAACAAGTATTTATAAAAAAATAAGCTAACCAGCTGAGCAAGGGCAATGGTTTTACAGTCTAAGTTTCTGGGCCTGGGCTACACAAGATAGGTACCTCCGGGGCAGCCGCCCCAAACACAGGAATATCATAAGAGTTCATTCCCCTCCACGGGATGAAATGCACCCCTTCCATCCAATGTAGTTACAGCAGTGTGACACCACACACTGTTTTTACTTCTACAATTGGCCTTTGTGGTGCATGAGAGGAGAATCACAAAGATAACTTCTTCCTCTTTTCTTTTAAATAAAAAAAGATTAATATTGATTTGGAGCAGCAAAATTTATTAAACTGATCTGCCTTTCCAGAAAAAAAAACCCCATAACAATCCCAAAATAAAGGATTGTTTTTCCTAGATAAAACTTTTTATTAGGCAGAGTCTTAGGAAGGCAAGATGGGCAACATACCTGGGTTCACGAGTTCTGGAAGGCTGACGTTGGGCATGACGTGTGGTGTCGGAAGGTTGAGGTTGGGGAGGGCAGGCAGGTTAGGCAGTCCTGGTGGTAAAGGCATCAGACCTGAAGAGAAGGTGAGAACAAAGGTTTATCAGTTCCCCTGGGAAAACATTCAATCCTTATGTGTTAAAAAAAAAAATACTATCCACTTCAAAGTGAGGAGTCCACTTACTATGTGGCAGTTTTGAATCATAACAACATCTACATATATAAAAGCCTAAGCAATAGAACAACTGGTCGCTATGATGCGCACTGACTACCAGGGGCAGATGCTCAATGCAGGAGCTCCCACAGCCAACCTCCCTCTGCCCCTCCCCCCACAGCTCCAAACACCCCCAATAGCTGGCCAGGCTGAGGGACCCCACCCATGCATGAATTCATGCGCTGGGCCTCTATTAATAATAAAATCTCACTGAAGCAAAATTCTCTTTTTAAAAAAAAAATATATTTTTTTTTATTGATTTCAGAGAGGTAGGGAGAGATAGAAATATCAATGATGAGAGAGAACTATTGATTGGCTGTCTCCGAGCCTGCAACCGGGGAATGTGCCATGAACTCCAGATTCATAGAGTAAGGCTCAAACACTGAACCATGCCAGTCGGGCAAAGCAAAATGTCTTTCTATACTTAACTGATTAAATGCTAAGAGTTAAAACAAATACTAATTCTTCTAAACCCAAGAGCAAGAATGATGAGGCCCAAGTGTCTGGAGAAAGGAGTGATTTATCCAGCAAGAATGGTAGTAAAGTGGAATGGAAGTTGGCTTTGTTGGTTGAGGTTTACAGTCTCTCTGGACTTTTTTTTCTTCAAATTCTAAAATAATTTCAGACGTAGGGTTACAAAAAGCAGTTGATTAAAAAGAATCCCCATACATACCTTTCACTAATATTCCCCAAATGTTAACATTTTATCACACTTGCTTTATTATTCTGTGTTTGAGTGTGTACATGCTTGGTTAGTAATGGCTTAACATGTCTGTGTAACAACACCTTTAGCCATATAATTAAAGACTCCCACAATGCAAATACATTTGATCAGTGAAATAATACTTATTATTTGCAAGAAAAGGGACTTGTGTTCATTGGGAACAGTAAGAGAAATAAACCAAAACCTAATCTAATGTTCGAGCTACCGAAGATGCAGATAAGGAGTGCTCTCTCCCAGGACACAATGGGCATTCACACAGACAACTCTGAGAAAGCTCAGCGAAGGAAGTGCTAAAGAATGGAACCTGTACATATTTCTTATCTGCCTCAAGCTGCAAGGGAGTGGGAAGGGGCGGTAAGTTGGCTCATTTCCTCTTGTTCTCATTTATCACAAAGTTACAGAGGTAAATGAGATTAAAAGACATAAAAAGTCACTACATAGGTGTAAGATTTTTTTCAGTGCTTTTTAAGATGTAAAATGTTAGTAATGCTCTTATTACACACATTTTGAGTCTTGATGCTTACCTGGTAATGTAGTAGCTGGATTCATTGATGGTACAGAAGTGAGGGACTGGTTTACTTGTGGTGGCAATAATGGTACTGTTGGTACACCTAAAATAAAAGCACAATCTTTTTAAAAATTTGTAACTAATTCAGTTGACAAAGAATAAACAGATCATATTCAGATAGTGTTCAATCCCTACCCCTCGGTGGTCAGTGGGACTTCATTTAGTTAATTTCTGGCTGTGTCACTAGGTGTCACAGCTGGTTTATCTACCGTGCCCAAGGCCCCTAACAAAAACTGTGAGAGCCTGGGCCGAGAGGGCAGGAGGCTCAGCAAACCCAACCCAGCTGAGCTCACTGGATGAGAGTTTTACACTTGACCTAAGTAGGTTAGATTAGAAAATTGTTTTGCAAATCTGGAAATGGAACGCAAGGACTCTAGTCAGTCTCCATTTGGGCTCCTGAACTAAGAAACCATGGGGACCTGGGCCTGCTAGGGGGGTGGGAGCCATCTGCCTGATGAAATAGTGAGTGCTGGGCTGGCTTTCGAAAGAGACAAAAGAGCATATGAACCTCCAGAGATGGAGAGAATGCCTGGCTTCCTGACTCTCCATTTCCATTTGACGATAGGTTCTGTGACATTCCTTTGAGGTCCAGCACATTCCCATTTTCACTTATGTTAGCTTGAGGAGGCTATGTTCTTTATATACAAATAACTCTTACGATACTGCCTAGTAAAGATTATCTACTCAAGTTTTTCACCTACTTATGCGGGAGGTTTTGCTGATGTCAAAACGATAGTAATATTGCACATGGATTCTAGTTTTTATCTTAATCTTGTAAAAGATCTGCTAAAATATAGTAGCAAAAATGAATTGTGCTATTCATAAACGTATGAAACAACCATCTTCAGATATTTATTAATTCATGTGTTTACTGCAGAAATTGGAGGCATGCAAAAGCAGAAGAGGATTCTTCGCTTTTATCAGACTCTCCAAGAGGTGGTTGGATGGTTGGTTGGTGTGTTCATTTACTCAAGTTTTTGAGGGGCACTTATATGTCAGATATTGTTCTAGACCTGGAGGCTCTTCACAGCATAAAAACAATAAGAGTCCTGACCTTTATGAAATTTACATTCTAATGAAGGCCAGAAAAGACAAATATTAAATAAATAAAATAGATATTATGTAAAATGGTTTAAGTTTTCTGCAAAAAGACTGAGCAAAGAAGGGGCTCAGAAAGTATTGGGGTGTACCAGAAAGGTCACACTGATTAATGCCATTTCAACATGATATACTCATTTTCTAAAACTTTCATAATCTAAAAATTATCAACCCACAAAGAAGCCATTTTTAAAACTATGTATTTGTATATTTTTAGTTACTATTTGGGCTACTTTGCAGCAATATAATTAAAAGTGAAGACAGGCCTAGCTGGTTTGGCTCAGTGGATAGAGCATCCTGTGGGTTGGAGAGGACGTCCCAAGTTTGATTCCATAAAGGGCACATGCTCGGGTTGCGGGTTCGATCCCCAGCAGGGGGCCTGCAGGAGGAAGCAGATCAATGATTCTCTCCCATCATTGATGTTTCTATCTCTATCTTCCTCTCCCTTCCTCTCCGAAATCAATAAAAATATATAAAAAAAATAAAAGCAAAGACAGAAAAATAAATGCCTAACAAAAAATTGTTTCTCATACTATGAAGCTAGGATGTTAGAATATTTTTAAATTAAGTTAATTGAAGTGAAAATGTTAATATTTTAGTCTCTTTTGAGCACTCACTGCTTTATCTACACTCCTTTTAATATTCAAGAAACCATTTCTCTGTAGTGTTATAAGGTCAAAGATCTCAGTGCATGTGCTTATAAGATAATGCAAGTACTACATAACTATAATGTAATGTGGGAAGAGCTAAAATGTCAAAAAGAATCTGGGACTTGAAGAGAGATGTCAGCTGTCCCCTAAAATCAGAAGACTTCCTGTATGGCATTGGAGCCCTCTTACTCTACTGCAGGTAAGCATTACTCCAACACAGATATGCCTCTGCTGTAAGTCTATTCGGAAAAAACTATAAGAGCATCTGATGAACTATAAGAAAAAAAATCATAATATAAAAATAATTCAAATACTACTTACATGAAACAAACTTTAAAATCCCTTCCAACTGTATCTAAGATTTGATACTGATGACATTAATAGTTAATCTCATCTAGGAAATGTCCTGAAACTGGATTGTGGTGATGACTGCACAACTCCTTACTAAATTTACTAAAAGACATTGAGCTGGATATTTACAGTGAGTTAATTTTATGGTATGCACATTACACCTCAATAAAGTTGGGGGGGGGAAATTAACAAAAAATCTGTTTGGCATGGCTCAGTGGTTGAGCGTTGATCTATGAACCAGGTGGTCACATTTTGATTTCTGGTCAGGGCACATGCCTGGTTGGGACTCAATCCCCAGTAGGGGGTATGCAGGAGGCTCTGATCAATGATTCTCTTTCATCATTGATTTTTCTATCTCCCCTTTCCTTACTCTCTGAAATCAATAAAAATAGATTGTGGGGGGAAAAAACTCAACAAAGAGTAGTGGGGGAAGATATGTCACCATAGTGATAACAAATGGAGCTGGATAGTGAGGGTTTGTTATACTACTCTACCCACTTCTGGGTTAAATTTTTAATTATAAAAAATTAAAATTTCCCTGGCTGATTTGGCTTAGTGGATAGTGTGTCTGCCTATGGACTCAAGGGTCCCAGGTTTGATTCCAGTCAAGGGCATGTACCTTGGTTGTGGGCACATCCCCAGCAGGGGGTGTGCAAGAGGCAGCTGATTGATGACCCTCTCTCATTGATGTTTCTGATTCTCTCTATCCCTCTCTGTAAAAAATCAATAAAATATATTTTTTTTAAAATTAAAATTTAAAAACTTATCTAGAAAACTTATCTAGAAAAACATTTCTTAAGAGAGCTTTGATTTGAACCTAGGGGACCAACTCCAGAGATTATACTCTTGACCTTAAGTGTATCTTACTGGGCTGTTTTAAATCCATTTCAGAACATGTAAGCAAATTTTGAATACAATATTAAAAATAGCTCAAGCCCTAGCCAGTTTGGCTCAGTGACTAGAGCAGTGGCCTGGGAACTGAATAGTCCCAGGTTCAATTCCGGTCAAGGGCACATGACAAGGCTGTGAGCTCAATCCCCAGTGGGGGACTTGCAGGATTTTCTCTCATCATGGATGTTTCTATCACTCTCCCCCTCTTCCTTCATCTCTGAAATCAATAAAAACATATTAAAAAAAAAAAAAAAAAAAAGCTCAAGAATAAAAATTAAGAAATAAAACTAAACCATGTCAGTATTAACTCACTCAATATTTGAGTACATAATATACTCTAGGTACAGTATTATGAAGGAAGAAAACAAAAAAACAGAAGATTTTAAAAAAAGGAAAGAATCTCCCCACATACCAAGTTAAGAACCATATTATGTGACCAAGCAATTCCATAAAAACTTGTACTCAAATGTTCATAGCAATACTATTAATAGTAGCTAAAAAGTAGAAATAATTTAAAAAGTCCCTCAACTGATGAATAAACAAAACATGGAACATCCATTGAATGGGATATTTAGCCATATAAAGGAATGAAGTTTTAATATATGCTATATGACAGGAAAGAATCTTAGAAACTACACATATCTATATATATAAAAGCTAAGCGACTAGAACGACTGGTCGCTATGATGTGCACTGCAGCTGGCCAATCAGCCCAATCAGGGGCGGAGCCAGCCAGCCAATCTCCCTCAGCTCTTCCCCTGGGTGGGGTGAATTCGTGCACCAGGCCTCTACTATCATATGAAAGGCCTACGTTAGACAAATCCATAGAAAGAAAGTAGATTTGGGGAAAAATAGGAAGTGACTGATAATGAGTACAGGATCTCTCTTGGTGCAATAAAATGTTCTAAAATTGACAAAAGTGACCATTATACAACTCTGCAAATAAACTACCCCTCCCCCCAAATGTATATTTTAAATGGGTAAATTGTTTGGTATGTGAATTAGATCTTGATAAAGCTGTTAAAAAAAAATAACAACACTAAAACAAACAGGGACTATATGTATTAGGTAGAAGAAGGAATAAAGGAAAGGAGATAGACATATGTTTTCTGAGCAATACTAAGCCCCTAGGAAAGGAATACATGACAACCTGCTCTTTTTTGTATCCCCAGTGTCTACCACTTCAGGGATATGCAAACATCTGTTGAGTAAACAGCAATTAAAACAGAATTTCAAGCTAAGAGTCCTGGCTCTACAACTTGTACAATATTAAGAGAAGCCCAGCTCTAACCAGTTTGGCTCAGTGGATAGAGTGTTGGCCTGTGGACTGAAGGGTCCCAGGTTTGATTCTGGCCAAGGGCATGTACCAGCAGGGGGTGTGCAGAAGGCAGCTGACCAATGTTTCTAACTCTCTATCCCTCTCCTTTTCTCTCTGTAAAAAATTAATAAAATATAAAAAAAAAAAAAAAAAAAAAAAAAAGAGAGAAACCCCAAAGTCAGAACTACATTTTGAAAAGGTTTAAATGCTGTGTGTCAAATGCATGGTGATTTAGTACTAAGTTTCACAGAAAGGTCTTGTCAATACAGAGCATATTTACAGTTTTCAAAGTATACTGGCATTGATTTTTTTAAATTGTATAGCCTGAGACATAAAAGAGTATCATGTCAAACAAAGTAGACTGAAAAACAGAATACATTTTTCTGGTTACCTGTACTGAGAACATTACTGATAGCTGGTGCAGTTGAGCTAATAGAAAGTCCTGACAGACCCTGATCAATTTCTGTGGTTCCTGGTGGTGACAAAGATGGGGGATTAACCGAGGACAGCTGGACCTTCCAAAAAAAAAAGAAGAAAGAAAAAAATTACTCAAGTGTATTTACAAGAAAATAGACTCTCACTAGTCCTACAGATTTTTTGATCATATAATGTCAAATATTTTATCCCAGCAGCTCTGCCATCCGAGATTCCTTCCTAATGCTGGTATATGCCAAGGACTATGCACTGAAACTACCTTCCCATCCTGTCACTTCCAGTCTTTTGACACATGGCAACTACCTTGTTACACACACTGTTCTAGCTACTTCCACACTAGGAGGAAATTCTATTCTCCTTGTTGACCATCCAAAAATCCCTTTATTCAAACCTTATATCACCACTGCTTTCTTCTTTGAATTCTCAGCCAGTTTTTGTTTTAAACTTTTATTGGTCATGGAAGAAATCAGATGAAGTCTTAAAACCATGATAAATTCCTTAGACGTTTCAAGACGCCTCACCTCATAAGTACACTTTATCTTTTTTCATCAATGAATAAATATGGCAGCCAGATCTCTACCTTCAAGCAAGAGAAAATGAGGGAGTCTATATGAATTCTATACAGATAGGTGGATAGGTGGTTTCACCTCTGAATACTCTTATTTCTGCTAGCTCCAATGCCTTCTATATAATAGCCCCTTTTCCTAGTTGTTATTTCAACCTCTGTCTTCTGACTGCCCTAGAGGCTTCATCTGGTTAGGGATAGCAAATATTGGGTGGGGGGGAGGATGTGTGAACATATAACTACGCTGGCTCTGGCCATGAGCCAATGGCGGGATGAGGAGGGAGCGGAGGTTATACTTCTTCAGAGCTCCTCTTCACTCTCTCTAGAATCTGGTTAAACTATGTATCAAAATGACAGTGGTAACAGCCCTTCCTTTACAAATGTAGCATTTTCTTTTTGGATGTTTGGTTTTGAATTAGTTGTGTAGACAAGAGTTAATTGTTCTGTGAGGCCTGCTTAGGAAACAGTTTAAAGGCTTTAATCTTGTGCAAATATCTCTTATTCCTTAAGAAGTTTAATTTTGATCCTGTAACAGTCTCTACACACCTAGCATTCTTAGCTTTCGTAGTCAAGTTTCTTGAAGTAATAAACACCAGCTATCATCACTTTATCATTCATCATTCACCCTTTATCTCCCTTTTCTTAAAGCTTTGTTCTCCCCCTGGGCTTCTCCAGAGTTTCCTTTGCTGGGTCCCCTCTCTTTCATCCATTTAAATACCAGAAATGTTCAAGACTGCAATGTCAGTCCTTTGACTCAGTCAGGGGCCAATCCCTTGGCAATTTTTATTAAGGCTCATTGGGCTAAATTACCCCCCTTTTCCTGATGATTCCCAAATCTGTATCTCTAGCCTTGTCTTCTTTCTTAAGACCTGTAGGATATCCAAATGGATATTCAAATTCAGCATGGTCAATACCTAACTCATCATCTACCCTACATCAATTAGTGCTACCACCACACACATCAACACTCAAGTCATTCTGGTGGAAACTTCATGATATAATCATGTAGTAAAGTTATCTTACCTCTGTAAACCCATCTTTAAGAGGAGTAATAGATGTACTAGTCATCTGTCCTGGAAGAGATATTTTCTTTCCTTCTTCAAAGGGACGTGTAGGTATTCGATGCAAATAACCATATCCAATGCCACATCCTAGACTATGAAAAAAAATTTTTTTAAAGTTACTGTTATCAGTCATAGGTTGCATTTCATTGAGGTTTTGAAATATAAAAATACATTCCCGTTCTTTTCTTTTTTTTAATTGATTTTTTTACAGAGAGAAAGAGAGAGAGAGAGCCAGAAACATTGATGAGAGAGAAACACCGACCAGCTGCCTCCTGCACACCCACTATTAGGGATCTGCCCACAACCAATGTACATGCCCCTGACCGGAATAGAACCTGGGACCCTTCAGTCCGCAGACCGACGCTCTACCACTGAGCCAAACCAGTTTCGGCCATTCCCATTCTTTTAAATAATGTCAATTTATCAGAGGTTCCTTTGTTCACTCTTATGAAATACCACCCTTTTCTCCACCATGGGCACTACCTTTACTCTTTTATTTTTCTTCAAGCATTTATCACCATCCAACACTCCCGTAATAAAATGTTAAGGTTCTTGAAGGCAGAGACCTTATTTTGTTTAATGCCTTGAGCAGTTCCTGACACATGGCACTTAATATTTGTTTGCTGCATGAATGTCATAGTCTTTGCACAGAAGAGCTCCAAGCACTTCTGTATGGTGATGTCATTTACACATCTCATAGTTCTACTTCAAAATACTGTTACCAGAGGCCATCTCTTTAATAATATGATTACACTGCTTCTTTCCATAATCTGTTGGCCTCCCAATATTTATTTTTCCTTCTTCCCTTGGAGAATTATTTATCTGCTATTGTGTGCAGTACTGGTGTGACTGTCAATCAGAAGGCCTCTTGTGCCCAAACCCAGGAATAGCTAATGACCAAAGCCAATCCATCTCTCCTGCCATGGCTACAAATCTTGGGAGTGACAGAAAACCAAAAAGCTCATTTCTTCAGCAGAATTCCAATGAAACTGCCAAAGTCCTGCTCTAAATTCCTAGAGGTGTTCTGAGTTCTATCCTTCCCACGTCTGATTTTTTACTGTTTCTTTAATTATATGAGTGATTCCCCAGCAATAAAGTCATGTCTGCTTACAACAACGACAACTGGGTTCTACTGTCTGGAACCAAAGAGCCCCCACTGATATAATATCATCCTCCCACTGCCCAAAGTATATACAAATTCCTGACCACAGTAATTAAGGCCCATCACAATCAGGTTACAACTGTTTCTATCATGAATGCTTTTATTTCCTAAACTGCTTGACACTTTCTGAGTAGGCCAGGCAGATATGTCTGTGCCTCTCTCCTGCCAAGGCATTTATCATTTCTGTGTGTATTACCACCACCAAAAGATGGGAGAGCAGGCAGTGGCCAACTTTAGCTCTTCCTTATCCAAATCCGATTTCACAATGATGCTTCATATTACAAAATTACTTGTTCTTTCTCTCTTTTTTCCTTCTCCCTTTTACCATCAAAACTGCAATTCTCACTGAACTGGATCTTAGATAAATCTGAAGGGAGTAAGATTAAATAATTTACACTGATCAATAGCAGCCTTTCAGAGGTAGCTACATTTTAAAACAAGGTGCTTATTAATCAAAATAACTAAGTGGAGGTAAAGAGGCACTTGAAGCAACAGCAAGATGTCCTGCGAACTTAAAGCTAACTTAAGAATGAAACTAAGAGAAATATGCTATAATGAATGAAATGTGGTCAGCCTCAGAGGAGGGAATAAAAACCAAAAGCAGATACATGACAAATGAGAGTAGACTCAAGAAAATGGTATGTATGGGCCTATATAAAGCAATGGCTGATCAATAGCACTAAGTATGTCAAAAGGAAAAATGTCTTCCAAAGAAAAGGCACAATCGCCAGAGTCTAGAAAAGGAGGACTCCAAGAATAAGAATGCAGCAGTGTAATTAAAAATTAAAGAACTAGTGATGACTTCCCCATCTGCAGAACCTCTTCCTAACACGTTGATTCTATGCTCACCAAGCAATCTTGTGGTATTAATCAGACCTAAGTATTCTAATTAGAGAAACTATTAGTTTCTTTTATAAACTGAAAATTTGCCATTCTAATAAATACAAATTTAGTTTATATGTGGCAGTCCCTCTGAAATTAGTCGACTTTGAATGTCTTAAGATCATATTTCTGTGATTATAATGAACAATGAACAATGGCAACTTGATCAAGTATTGCCTCAGGCCAAAACCAGTTTGGCTCAATGGATAGAGCGTCAGCCTGCGGACTGAAGGGTCCCGGGTTCGATTCTGGTCAAGGGCATGTACTGTGGTTGCAGGCACATCCCCGGTGGGGGGTGTGCAGGAGGCAGCTGGTCGATGTTTCTCTCGCATTGATGTTTCTGACTGTCTATCCCTCTCTCTTCCTCTCTGTAAGAAATCAATAAAATATATTAAAAAAAAAAAAAAAGTATTGTCTCAGGTGGACCAGATTCTTAAAATGAGACCTCTATCTCATTTTCTCAAATTGCAACAACTTAGCATTCTGGTGCAACATAGACTCTGAGGTAGTGTGGGTAAAGGTAATAGTGTGAGCAAATAGAGGCTTTCTCTGCCTGCATCATCGAAGTCATCCTTTTTCCAGCAAATACCAGAACTTTTACAAAACACTTGGAAGTTTCCAAACCCTAAGCTTTCCTATAATAATTACTATCCTATATAATAAAAGGCTAATATGCAAACAGACTGAACAGCAGAACAACCAAACAACTGGTCGCTATGACATGCACTGACCACCAGGGGCCACTCATGAAACATGGCAGGCATCGGCAGTAGGTGGCAGAGTGTGGAACATGGTGGGCGTCGGCTATGGTGGAGCAGGTGAGTGAGGGTGCCAGACCAAGGCGGGGTGCCAGTTGCTGTTATTGAGGCAAGCCTCTGGTGGTTACTGAAAATTCTTTGCTCCTGGGCACAGTGGTCCCGCCCACCACTTGCATCCGCTGTCAGCACCTGGTGCCAGTCCTAATCACTCGGGGCCATGAGCAGGTGTGAGTGGTGGCTGAGGGCTTCTCCACTTCCCCGCTCCTGAGGGGTGATTGGGCAGCAGCCACTGCTTACACCAGCTGATGGCGCTGGCCCCACTCACACCTGCTGCTGGCGCTGGCCCCAATTACTCCACACTGTCAGCAGGTGCGAGTAGGGTCGGCGCCATCAGGCATGGAAGCAGTGGTGGTGGGAGCGGGGCTGCCGGCAGACAGGGGACTGGAGTCCATGGCAGGAGAAGCTGAGGAAGGGCATAGAGAATGCGCTGAGACGCCCCTATGCCCACTGCAGCCTAGTGGCACACAGTTCCTTTCAAGGTGCATGAATTTGTGCACTGGGCCCCTAGTGATTAATAATTCCTCAAATTAAAAAAAGGCTTAGGACTTTCAAAACAGTGAAAAATTTGTACAATTTAAGCAACAGCTGAAAGACCTTAAAAAAGCAATGTAGCTGAAACCGGTTTGGCTCAGTGGTAGAGAGACGGTCTGCGGACTGAGGGGTCCCAGGTTCGATTCCGGTCAAGGGTATGTACATTGGTTGCGGGCACATCCCCAGTAGGGGGGTGCAGGAGGCAGCTGATTGATGATTCTCTCTCATTGGTGTTTCTAGCTCTCTAGCTCTCTCCCTTTCTCTCTGTAAAAAAAAAAAAAAAAAAAAGGCAATGTAAATCAACATTTTTTTTTTTTCAAAATTATGGAATTGACTTGATAAAGAATCCCAGAAAACTGATTTTATAAAATCTGCCTACCTGCGTGGCTTGATGCTCTTTCTAAATTGAGTTTTATGGTTATTGAAATTTTGTCTAATTCTTGGTTGAAATCAGCCTATCTATTTCTGAAAGCCAACAATTTTCACAAAGTCTGAGGAATCTTCCCAGCACCTAAATAAAGTTACACTGTATTGTCCCATTGTTGAAGAGGTGAATTAGGAAAATAAAATAAAACTGAACTATTTGATTAAAATAACAAAACAAAGAAAGGCTATTAGCTCTTAGGTCAGTAAAAAAAAAAAAAAAAAAAAGGACTATAGTCTATATACCAGTCTTCCTAAATATATACTTTAAAAAAAGAATTATTGCTTGGCTGGTGTGGCTCAGTTGAGCTTTGGCTCATGAACCATTTTTTACAACACATCTAAGTTTAAGCAGTTATAATTTAGTCTAAAATTGACCTTACCTGCCTTCTCCACCCCATGCAGAATTTGGTGTAATAATCACTTCTCGACAGTTATCAGTGTCTGTATTATACACATAAAGTTTCAATGGTTTTGTTTCATGTGTTTCAATAAGGCTGAACAGATCTTCAGACTGCAAAAGCATCACAGGAGAAAAATATTTTTATGTTACTGAACAGTGGGTCTCAAACCTGGCTAATAACAAAATTACCTATAAAATTAAAAAAACAGAAACACTTGCTGGGTGGCTAAGTTGGTTGGAACCCATATATCAAAAGGTTGTAGGTTTGATTTCGTCAGGGCACATACCTAGATTGGGGGTTTGATCCCTAGTCGGGGCACATACAGGAGGCAACCAATTCATGTTTCTCTCTCACATCAATATCAATGTGTGTCTGTCTGTCTCTCTCTCTCTCTCTCTCTCTCTCTCTTCCTCTATATCTAAAATCAATATCCTCATGTAAGGAAAAAACAAAACACAGACACAGATTGTGGGCCTAGCCCCAAACATCCAAATAATTTCTTAAAACTGATATTCAAACAAGGTTTAATTTAATAAATTACCTATTTATATGTCCAATTTCACAAGACCTAGTCAAGCAATTTTAGTTAAAACTCTTCTACACACAAATCCTATGTATTTTGCCTTTGCTCTCTATGATTAAGACCTGGTTATCTGGGCACCTTATTTTTTCTCTTATTTTTGATTTAGCAATATATACGTTCCCTAGCCATCAAGCAAGGAAAAGGATTAAAATAGCTGAGCCAATTTTGTGACCTCTTTTTAGGAAGAGAAAATGAAATCAATAACCAAAACGAGGATTTCATTTAGCCTGAGGTAAATTAAGGATTTTTATATACCATACACAAACCTGTGAACGACTACATAGTATGGTATGACCTTTCCCCATGGCCATACTAATGAGACACCGCCCAGATGTTCTGTTTAACTCCCGAGCAGGAGTGATCTTGACCGGCAAAGACCTAAATTTCAACTCTAAATGCAAAGTAGGCAAATATACTCATGGACTTAAACATTAATAAGAAAAGGTTATATAATTTTCTTTAATAAACACACTAATTACCTCATTCATGACAGTATCTGCTCCAATGATATAATCACTGTGAGGTCTGAGACCTGCCCGTGCTGCCGGAGAATTTGATTCTACTTCCTACAGTGACACAAAAACACACCCCAAAATTAATATACATAAAGTAATGTCCCAAATCTTATAGCAATTAAAACCACTACATTTGTAATTTTCTTGTTATGTCACATAATCTTGAATATTTAAAATACTTCTGTAGCTATTTCCTTTAACATTTCTTCTCATAATGAATAAATTGTTTTTCTTCCTCATCTCATGCATTTAAAAAAATAACCTAGATTTTAACAGCAATGAATTCTGATTTTCAAGAACTAAAAATAGCCTAATACTGGGAGTGGCCAGGCCCGGGGGAGCAGGCGGGTCGGGTGCGGCCAGGCCCGGAGCAGCGGCTGCCAGGCTGGGAGCGGCCAGGCCCGGAGCAGCAGCAGCCAAGTCCAGAGCAACTAGGTCGGGAGCGGCAGTGACCAGACCCGGAGCAGCTGGTTGTGGAATGAACCAGAGCAACAGAGGCCAGGCCCTGAGCAGCCAGGCCCAGAACAGCTCGCTCCTTGCCTGCCCCTGCCCCACGGCTGCTTCTCAGACATGGCTGGAAACTTTCGTGGGAACTTGAGGGTCTGCTGAATCAAGTGATGAAGGCTTAGATCTGGATGTGTTGAGTTAGTTTAGGACTGGGGTGTTGATCTGTGAGTGCCTAGGGTGGGGCCTGGATGAGGCTGGTGGACCTATTGGGAAATGTCTTTTGTGTGAAGTGTATCATTGGGCATGTGGAGGTATTATTGATATGAGAAAATGCTAAGTAACTGATTTACTATCTGAAAAGGGATTTACTATTGGGGAAAGGGAGGGAAGAAGAGACTGAACATAAACTGCACCTAGGGATGAGGACAATGGGGGATGGGGAGGGGGCATAGGGTGGGGTGGGAACCTAGTGGAGGGGGGAAGAAATGAGGAACCTTTGTAATAATATGAACAATAAAGATTGATTTAAAAAAAAAAATAGCCTAATAATAAAAGTCCCTACAATCTCAACCAAACTGGAGATAACCGCTGGTAGAACACCCTTCTACACTCTTTTTAAACTGCAAGGTACAGCTTACAAGTGATACGTACCAACACATGCCAAACGTTTTCATTTGCCCCATCAAAGCTGCAGAAACGAATGCTCACTCCCAACAAGCCCTGGCCACCCCACATGTTACTTGGTGTGACTGAGGTCTCTCGAAGCTCCAGTGTTTTACTACTGTAGATAAGCATTTTTACAGGCTTTTCAACATTTGCTTTCAGTAGATCCTTCAGAGTATCATTGTCTTTATTCTGTGAACACATAAAATTGTTTTTCTTAATAAATAAAAATGCAATGTTAACTGTCTTAGTTTAAGCATCCTATGGTCTATTGGAGTAATATTAATGAACACAAAGCATTCTATGGGTGAAGGTTTCATTAACATCCAAATGTTCCTCCAAATAAAAGAATGTTAAGAAGTTAAAAATAATTCTTGTTAGCAACAACTTCTGACTTTTTCTAATAGTCAAGCAATTTTACTTAAAACTCTTCTACACACAAATCCTATGCATTTTGCCTTTGCTCTCTATGATTAAGACCTGGTTATCTGGGCACCTTATTTTTTCTCTCATTTTTGATTTAGCAGATTATGGAATTTGCAACCTAACATGGATTGAAGTGACCCAGGGCTTTATTGATTAAGAAAACACACCAAATTATTCCATAAGAAGTCATATTACATAACAGGATTGGTATAACTTTGGTTTTAAAATCTAAAACATTTGCTGGCATTGAAGTTTAATTTGTATTCTACTCCTAAATATACAGTTTAGTTATTTAGTAGGAACTGGCAGGAAAAAGAAAATGGAAGCAGTGTGTTAAATATTTCATTACATAAATGAAAAAAGGCCATTATGTAGAAGATGTTGATAAGCCAACCAAGTAGCCATTGTTATAAGAATTTCCTTTGCTGAAATTATATAATTTCCTTCCTACAGGGCTTTATCATAGGTAAATTGAAAGCAACATAAAAGTGGTTTTAATTCTGCACTTTTGGAACACATCTATCTGGTTCTAGTAACATTACTTATATACAAAGAAACTGACAAGTTGAAAGTCATTTGTCAATTACCTACAAAAGTTTGACATCTTTAAAAATAGCAAATGCTGCCGAGACCGGTTTGGCTCAATGGATAGAGCGTCGGCTTGGGGACTGAAAGGTCCCAGGTTCAATTCCGGTCAAGGGCATGTATCTTGGTTGCCGGCATATTCCCAGTAGGGGGTGTGCAAGAGGCAGCTGATCGATGACTCTCATTGATGTTTCTAACTCTCTATCTCTCTCCCTTCCTCTCTGTACAAAACCAATAAAATATATTTTAAAAATAAAATAAAATAAAATAAGCAAATGCTTAATATTATTTCTTTCTGCATAAAAATTTAAATATTTAACCTTTAAAGTAAAAGTCTCCAGTGATTTTAACCCCCTAAAATAATTGCTGGCGTGTCAAGCATAGTATTTTATATTTGGCATTTTCATACGTTTACTAACATAATTACTTTTACAAACTGATAACACACTTTATGTTTGTAACTAATGAATAAACCCCAGTCCCATATAATAAACACCAAAAATTCCATTTTTAAAAGATACAAAATACTATACACAAAGGTACAAAAAGCTGAACTTACTAATCTTGAACCATTAATAGAAACAATAAAATCAAAGAATGGTTCCAGTCCTGCTCTATGTCCTGGGGAATTTTCTTGTACCTGTAAAAAAAAAAAAAAAAAAAAAAAAAAAAAGTCAATATGAAAAATACAAAGCTTAATTAAAAATCATAAGTAAATTTTTAATACCCATTTCTTCTGTAAAACTAGACTAATTTTATCAATAAAAATTATAGCTACAGCCGAAACCAGTTTGGCTCAGTGGATAAAGCGTCGGCCTGCGGACTGAAAGGTCCCGGGTTTGATTCTGGTCAAGGGCATGTACCTTGGTTGCGGGCACATCGCCAGTGGGAAGTGTGCAAGAGGCAGCTGGTCGATGTTTCTCTCTCATCGACGTTTCTAACTCTCTATCCCTCTCAATTTCTCTCTGTGTAAAATCAATAAAATATATTAAAAAAAATTATAGCTACAAACTAGTTCTCTCATTTCTCTTCATCTAATCCAGAAAATAATTACCCTTGCAGCTTTCTAAATTCTACCCATTCTTTATGTTCACCTCCTATATGAGGCTTTCTCACTATGATTCTATTACCACCACTTTCTATTTTTGGAGGCCGGTTTCGGGGCAATCCTCTGAGCATTTAGCACATGACACAACAGATAGTTATTTATTACAACTAAGTGACATTTAGGGAGCATTTATTCCATAGCAAGGAACAATTCAATTACAAAACTAATATAGGATCAATGTGACTGGTGTCAAAACATTTATAATCTGTGGAGAAATAGGCAAGAAAAGAAAGGGCAGACAGAGGACATATAGCCTTCTAATAACTGTGCTACAGGACCAAAACAGTAAGGTTTAAATGTAGGCACAAAGTTCTAAAAGAAAGATTAATTCCAATTGAAGAAGCTTCACACACACAAACATTTGAACTATACTTTAAAAAGGAGGTAGAACTTTCTTTTTTTAAAAAATATATTTTATTGATTTTTTTACAGAGAGGAAGAGAGAGGGATAAAGAGAAACATCAATGAGAGAGAATCATCGACCAGCTGCCTCTTGCACACCCCCTACTGGGGATGTGCCCGCAACCAAGGTGCATGCCCTTGACCGGAATGGAACCTGGGACCTTTTGAGTCCGCAGGCCGACGCTCTATCCATTGAGCCAAACCAGTCTCGGCGGAGGTAGAACTTTCAACGGTGAAAATAAACAAGAGGATAAGGACATCTGAAAGTTGAAGAAATGATACAAGTAAAAACCCAAAGGAGTCTGAAAAATGAGGATAATAATACAGTATAGCTAGACAACAGGGTGGTGTGGGACAGAATTACATGTTTAGAAAATCAGAAGTCCTTTATTTTACAGGTGAAAAAACTATTTTGTTACTTATCTATGGGCCATAGCTGGCTGGTGGTAGAGGTGAAATTCAAAAGTACATTTTACAACTATTAATCTAATAAGGAGGCTGCCAGAAAGAGTGCAGCCAGATTTATAGATGACTTTAAATGAAAAATTAGGACTTTTAGCTTCTCAACAATTCAAATGTTTAACACCCAACTTTGAAATGGGTTAAAATTATTTATTAAATTTGCTGAAATTGAAATAATAAAATTGGTAGCTGGTAGTATTGGTAATATGGAAAATAAGCAAAAAGTTAATATAATCTACTTTGCATCTCTCTATAATATTTTCATAATGTTTTAAGGAATTGTTATTCTGCTTTAATGTTATTAAATACTGTCAAATCTATTCTATGAAAACAAAGTTTGAATTGAGATTTGTAGGTTGATTTATTCTAAGTCTAAAGAGTTTTAATAATTCTGAGACTAAGAAAATAACAGATACATACATTCATCCATGCATAAATCTATAGCAATTTACACAGTAACAAATTTTGATGCTTTCAAAATTGAACACAGATTGTTCCCAGAATGTCCTTTTAATACCTGGCCTCTTGGATTAGTATTACCTTATTTAAAGCCAAATTATACTATCATTGCATCTGAAGAAATAAGACTATTTTTTCCCCATTTATCACAATAAGGAATAGTTAGTTGTCCATTATAAGGATGCTTCAATGTTTAACTTAGTAAAACTGTGTGATTTTGCTTTATGCAAATTTCCCTGCAAATGTGAAACTTAATAATTTTTTAAGTTAAACTACCAAAAAGATTTAAAAGTGTTACCTTTAATAAAAATAGTCAATATGTATTTGTTTAGTTTCTGTATACTTAAGTTTTCTTAAATGGGGGTTATTATAGTCTACATACAAGGTGGGGCAAAAGTAGGTTTACAGTTGTGAGTATATGAAACAAAGTTTATTCCTCATTAACTAGAGGCCCAGTGCATAAAATTCATGTGGGGGTGGGAGGATCCCCCTCAGCCCAGCCTGCACCCTCTCCAATCTGGGACCCCTCAGACATCCCTCTCACAATCTGGGACCATTGGCTCCTAACTGCTCACCTTCCTGCCTACCTGATCGCCCCCAACTGCGCCCCCTGACAGCCTGATCACCCCTAACCGCCTCTGCCTGCTGGCCTGGTCGCCCCCAACTCCCCACCCTGCCGACCTGGTTGCTCCTAATTGCCCCCCCACCCACCAGCCTGGCTGCGACTTACTGCTCCCCTACCAATCTGGTCACTCCAACTATCCTACCCCCCACTTGCTGGCCTGGATACCCCAAATGCCCTTCTCTACCAGCCTAATCACCCCTAACTGCCCCCGCCCACCGGCCTGGTCGCCCCTAACTGCCCTCCCCTCCTCCCCCTACTGGCCTGGTCACTCCACGCAGCGTTGCCAGCTGTTTGTCCGTCCCTCACTAACCCCCCTGCCAGCCTGGTCACCCCAGGCAGCCTGTTGGTCATTATTGTTACTGTGACAGTGACCTGGACAATTCTGATATTCCTATTATTAGTATAGACTAGAGGCCCAGTGCGCATGAGTAGCTTGCTTCCTCTTGCCTCAGCTGGCCTCGTCACTCTTTGCTCTGCCCTCCATTGCTCATAGCTCTCCACCAGTCATAGCCCTCAGCCTCTGGTAGCTCGCTGCCCTGCCCTCCGCTGCTCTAGCTTGCGCCCTGCCTTGCGAGCTGCTGCTCCTTTGGTCATGATAGCGTCATGGCGGGCCATTTATTAATATAGATTACTAGAGTAATCTATATTAATAGATTGGTGCACGAAATTCATGCACTGGGGGCAAGGGGTCCTTCAGCCCAGCCTGTGCCCTCTCGCAGTCCAGGACCCCTCACTCCTTACGGCCCACCTGCAGTGGAGGTGGGAGAGGCTCCCGCCACCACTGCTGCACTCACCAGTCATGAGCCCAGCTTCTGGCTGAGCGGTGCTCCTCTTGAGAGCACACTGACCACAAGGGGGCAGCTCCTGTATTGAACGTTTGCAACCTCTACCCATCCTGGTCAGTGCACGTCATAGCAAACATTGTTCCGTTATTTGGTCAATTTGCTTATTAGTTTTTCATTATATAGGAGGATTGTATAACTTTCCATATGAACAACTGTAAACCCTTTGTCCCACCCTATATTGTCAAGCAAAATGTCTAGAACCCGAAATGGCAGATAGATTTCTCCTCAAATGGCAACTCTGAAAAGAAAATGGTGGCAGCTTAGATCTACAAGGAGAAGAAAAGTGAGGTCAAGTCGCAGCTGGCTGGGAAAAAAATAAAGATCTGCCAGGTATGAAATGCCTATTAGAATCTTATCAATTACGTGCAAAATGCTTCAGGTGTGAAGATCATTGGCATACCTGTAAGCCCTAGAAGCTCCCTCAGAGTGAAATTTCTCACTTAATAGGGTCCATTACTTAGTAATTCTATTTTATTTAGAATCTAACATGTCCACTAATCAATTTCACACTTCTGCACTGATGCTGCCAAAAGTTTATCTTTTAGTAAAAAAGGCTAAAGACGATGCTTTTTGAAATGTCATCACCAACTTAGAAAGTTGGTTTCACATACAGAATCTTATGCCATCCTTCAAGTATAAAGTTTTACTACCATTTGTTTGAAACGCAAAGTCTTCAATACCAGTTCCCCATAACTTAAAAGATTCAATAACTTTGAATTCTAAAATAAATAAAATGTCTCTAACTCTAATTTTTCATTTTCATTTGCTACAAACATCAATCTCCTGTTTCTAATGGACCTTGAAATTAATTTCTTCCCCAAATTTATTTATATCATTAGTACAAGCACAATCTGGTATTTAGGTATCTTAATTACTGCTAGGAAGCCAGCAGAGGGAGCCCTAGGAAATGCTCTCTTGACCCTAATACACTTAAAGGAAATTTCCTACTTTTCATAGCATGGAAAATAAGATCTATAACATAGCAAATGAAACATCCACACAGTTAAGTTTCTCTGGCAATATTATTCATTGATAAGAATCACTTAGGCATCTAATCTCTCAAACATCAGATTCCCACTTCAAATTGTCCCATATGAGATCTGATTATTTATCATATTTCCTTCAAACTATCTTAATTAAATACATACACATACATAAACACATATGGTTATGCAGGCCACTTAGCACTTATTTTTGGGCCAAATATCACAGAAATTTAAGATGAAGAGGTTAAATTTGAAAGTTAAATAAGATTTTGCAAGATTTAAAGAAAATGTACTGTGAGCCCTGGATGGTTTGGCTCAGTGGATAGAGTTTCGGCCTGCGTACTAAAAGGTCCCAGGTTCGATTCTGGTCAAGGGCACATGCCTGGATTGGAGGCTCGATCCTCAGTAGGGGCCATGCAGGAGGCAATGATTCTCTTTCATCATTAATGTTTCTATGTGTCTCTCCCTATCCCTTCCTCTCTGAAATCATTAAAAATATTTTTTGGGGGGGGGAAATGTACAGTGAGAAGATAACAGATTTTTGGGCTAGACTGACTTGGTTTTGAGGCATGGTTTTGCCTACTAATTAGCAGTGTAAGCTTAGAAAAGTTTATCTTTATGGGCTTCAGTTTTCTCATCTGCAAGTAAGGGATAATGCCATCTACTTTACAAGAATATTGTAGCAACTGAGTGAGTGTACTGAAATGCTTAGCTAAGTCTCTGACATATGACAGGAGTCCTAAAAATCTGAAG